AACGAACTTGAATATCGTATTCGAGATCAAGCTTATACGATATATTTCACGCGAGTATATACGAAATTACGAGCGAAATGATAAGAATACTCGTAAACGATTATCTTATTCTCGATTATTATCGAAACGCGTTTCGAGCTCGAAACTTTGCTTTTCCAACTCGGGATGTAGAACAGTCGGAGTAGCGTTTCCGCGAAACACGAGATCCTCGCGTTTTCGAAGGGAAATCGTTGGCGTTTTTTCGAGTCGCGCATCGCGATAAATCAACGACGGATCTCCTCCACGTCGTTCGATTATCGGAGTTATGAATCTGGCGCACGGTTCAAACTCGCGCCAACTTTCCTCGTATAAATTTTCTTTTCTTTTCCGCCGCGACAGCTTCCGCTCGACGATTTCGACGCGCAATCGGCGCCAAATCGCGCCGAACTCCCACCACCGAATTGTTCCGATTCGAAGGAAAAAATTCATTTTCCCTCCGTTCATTTTTTCTAAGAATTACAAACTTTCTCTCTCTCTCTCTCTCTCGAATCAGATCGATCGTGATTCGAATCGGCTTTCAAGGCAACGTTTCGCGGATTAAACCGGGGCATCGAGCACGATGGAAATACTCCATCGTGGATGGAGATGTCATCGCGAAAATAGTTGAAATCGGATCGATGATCTTCTTCGCTTTTGTGTGAAACTTCGCTTGCGAGAAACGATCTCGGGACCGTTTTCGATTTGTTGAAAGCCCCGACTTCCACCATCCCGCCGATAGCCGTGATTTTTGAAATCGTCGAGGATATCTTTAGGAGATAGCGCGTAGAACCGACGTAGAAAAGTTTGTCGCGATAAATCGATATCCCGGCGCGTTCGTTTTTTTCACGCGCCCCTGTTATTCCTCCTCCACGATTCTGGCAAACTTTTCCCCTCCCCCTCCGGAAGAGACCCGACCCTCGCCATGGAAAAACTTTCGTTTTAAGCTGTTCGAAACTGCAAACTGTCGTCGCCTATTTACCGGCTCCGATCCTCCGCAGGATCCACGCTGAAAAATTTCGTCGTAAAGTCGCTAAGTGAACCCGAATTTTCCTCCGGAAAAGGAGAGGAAGCGAACATTTTCCCACCTTTCGAATTCTTCCTCGTTTCGTTACGCTTGAAATTTGTTACAGCAATAATTAATTAATGGGAATGGATAATTAATTTAGGAGAATCGAAAAGAGAGAGAGAGAGAGAGAGAGAAAAGGAAGACGAAAATTGATCCGCGGCGTATTAAGAGCGGAGGAAGAGGTGTGAAGTCCGGATTTGGCCGAGAAGCTTACAAACGAGTAACTTTCGAGGTTTGTCTAGTAGTCGCAAAAGTCTGTGAACCGGCGAGTGCTGTGAATGAAAACAGCCGGGAGCTGTTATCACGAAGCGATATCGTTCCGGCGTCGTCGCTTCGGGCTTGCACGCCGCGCACAAACACCGAACGTCATGAACTGTTTTCCCTTCGATTTACGCGGTGTGAAATCTCAATCGGATAACAACCATTTTTCTTCCCGTTCAAGAGACCTTCCTTCGAGACCTTCCTTGGAAGTCTCCTTGGAAGAAGAGAGAAAGAAAACAGTTTAGCTCGAAAAACGACGAAAATGATCATAAATTCGATCGATGAAGAAGCAAACAAAGGGGACAGAGAATTCGTACAATTCCTTCCTGCGCTCCAATTCTAACTCGCCTGGTTCCATCTCGATAATTATGTAACCGCTTTCTGCTCGGAATTAAATCCATTTAAATTCGAAAGATCGTGCACGCAGCGAATCAACGACGAACCGAATAGGACGAGTACAGTGTCGAAGGAAAGAAGG